GCTACAACATCATAAAGGTCAATTACTTTAACTGGTAACTACTTACAGATGTAAAACCAAAGGGTGCTCCCAAGACAAGATGTATTGGAAAACAACAAAAAATAAGAATATTCTCCCTGTAAATGGCACAAAAAAAACTTAAACTAAAAAAACTAGCAACTAAATAATCACACCAATAACTGGTTGCAAAAATGTATAGTATAGCCTAAAATAAATAAATAAGTACTGTAGCGTCTGGACCACTCAAACACACAATACATATTTTGTTAGCTAGATTTAACAAATACTCTGTAACACCCCAGGAAGCCGAACAGGCCCCTGGTTCCATGGCAATGCTGACACCCGATACATTTACGACCTCCTGGAATTTAGGTGAAGAAAATCGCTTCCTTGTCCATAAGGAAAATCCACAAGGGAAGGACTTTTCTTTGCTAATTAATTAATAGGAAAACCTTTCTTTGAATGAACACACATGATCCTTCAGGTCATTGCACCCCAAGTGAATTACATGTGCAAATTACCATGCCCTCGAACAAATGGTCGTAAAACCCTTCAGCAATTGCAACCTCCTGCTTGGAATTTCTTCCTTTCTCATTGGACAAGCCCACCTTGAGAGGCGTGACTCTTCTCCGACCTTAAAGGCCCACACCAGGGACCCTCCCAGTCGGTGGTTCTGTTAGGTTTCGATAAGATGTGAGTTCCAACGCTCCAGAACATCCTAAGTTACGTGCCAGGCTTCGGCCTCGACCTTTCCATTGATCAAGATTCTCTGACTCAGAACTGGTTCTTTTCATCTACCAAATTCAGCAAAGATCAACTGGAAACTTCAGATTACATCAAACCTCTCTTTCAGACAGATGAGACATGCAAGTATCCAACTTAGCCTTATTAATGGATACATGAAGTATCATTTGCACCTTTTTACAAAGGTGTGTTTGAACTAAGAATCTGATGTTTCCCTCAGGCAGATCTGCTGAATATGCAAATGGTTCTATAATTTCATTCCTTATTTCTCTTCTCTGTACTGAGTTAAGCTTTAACCCTTTCCTATACCAACTGTATCCGCGTGTGTGTGTGTGTGTGTGTGTGTGGTTTATGTGTTTATGTGTTTATGTAGTATGTTAGACTAGTTTAAGTGTTCATGTGGTTAATAAAACCTTACTTGTATCACACGTTCATTGTTTCATTGTTTGCTTATAACTGGAGTCACTTAATCATGCAGATTTATGCTACAAGCTTTTGTAGAATCTGGAAGACACAAACATAGAGAAATCTTTAAATATCAACTGCTACAACATCATAAAGGTCAATTACTTTAACTGATAACTACTTACAGATGTAAAATCAAAGGGTGCTCCCAAGACAAGGAAAACAACAAAACAACAAAAAACAAGAATATTCTCCCTGTAAATGGCACAAAAAAAACCTTCCTTGTTCCTTATTTAATAATCACATC